GGGGGAGGGAAAGGGGAGGCGGTGGTGGGGAAGAGACAGAAATCTTTAATTAATAAATAAAAAAAAGAGACAACAAGAACCAAAGCATCTGTTGGGGGCCTCCTTACAGTTTAAGAGGGTTAGTCCATGATCATCACGGCAGAAGGCAGATAGGCATGCCAATGGCAAAACAATAGCAAAGGGGTTTCCTCCTATTCCACAGGCAGCAGGCACACACACAGTGACATACCTCCTCCAAGGGCACATCCATTCCAACAAGCCCATACATCCAAATAGCTCACCTGGGGACTGAACATAGGGGGCATTCTCATTCAAACCACCAGAGGCAGTTATCTCCGGAGGCTGGAAATCTAAACTGAGTGCCAGGGATACCCAGTCTTTTTGTATGATGGGTCTTTTCATGGCACGGTTGTGCACAACTTGAAGATCTGGGATGCTAAATGCTCAAGGTTATCAAAAGTTGACCTAAGACAGTAGCTTCAAGTTCACTGTCTCACACCAACAGAGATTGAAGGTATGGATTCTCCTGGTGTGTGCTGAGCAGAAGTGGGCTTTATTAAAGACAAACACAGGAAGGGAAACTTGAGTAAAGGTGAGAGATAAAAGGAAAGGGGAGAGGAACTCCTGAGGAAGGGAGATAGCAACAACCACTGAGCTTCCGTGCCTGAGGGCTTTTATAGGGCTGTGGCAGAGACCTTGAGATTGGCTAATTCTTGTGGGCCAAGCCAACACTTGCTATGCATCTTCCACCAGCCAGGGGGACAATTCTGATCACCTTCCCTGTCCATCTCTGACTGACTTTATTTAGCTATTGGCCTCGACTGCCTGCTAGCTGTTAGTCGCTTGGCCAGAGTTGCTCCCTTCTGGCCTTGCAGGTGTCTTGAGTGCTGTTAATTGTACTAAGCGCTCTTTGTTCTTGGTGGCTACCGAAAAGAAGCTGTTCTTGGTTACATCATATTTAACGCCTTGTCTCTGGGGTGGTCTGGAATGGTCTCCTAGGCAGAGGAATCTTGTTTCACGATGTCCTGGACCGAGCCACCATAGTGATAGGAGAGGAAGCAGCCGCTAAAACTGTTCCCACATCCTCTCTCTCCCTCCCTCTCTCTCTCCCTCCCTCTCTCTCTCTCTCCCTCCCTCTCTCTCTCTCCCTCTCTCTCCCTCCCTCTCTCTGTCCCTCTCTCTCTCTCCCTCTCTCTCCCTCCCTCTCTCTGTCCCTCTCCCTCTCTCTCCCTCCTTCTCAGCTGACTTGCTGGGCCCTAAACTCCAAAGTCCCGATCCTTCCATGCCCTAGAAATAACAAGGTAACCCTGCAGAGGAGATTGGCAAGGAGACACGGGCCTCACAGGAGAAAGAAGGTATTCTCCCTGAGAGTGCTGAGGAGGCAGAGCTTAAAAGGCCAAATATCCAAGCCTAGGACAAAAGCCCAAAGGCTCCAACTCCCTCCTGAAGAAATGAGACAATCAGGACCCAGAGATGCTGCAGCTTTTTCTGTGGTGAGAAACGTAAGGTGTGAGATCTCTTTCAGGAGGAGAAATTCCTTGGACAGTCTTGAGTCTTGGAGCAGAGTGGCGGTTTCGGTGTCCCAAGGCTGAGGAGGACATGTTGGGAAAGACAGAATGAGAGACATGCTCTCTGTGCATCTAAGTGGATTGTCCCTTAGGCCGCTGTGCTTTATCATGGGGGGGGGGGGGAGGCAGGCAGTAAGAGAGTATTGTTCATAAAGGAAAAGGATTTTCTTGCCTACAGAGCTCTCAATAACCTTTGCTAACTACCTCTAAAGGTTTGTCCTGGTTATCAAGGGCTGTAAAGTTTGATAGACATTGTTTATGAAAAATGGATGCCTTCTCTCTCCCCATGTGTTGCTTTTGAAAGTACTATGGGGGAAGAGCACTGGTTTCGGAGTCAAAGTGTTTGGGCTCTGGTTCCACTCAGTCTTAGCAGTAATGATGTATATAACCTTGGTAGGGTCACTAGCTTCTCTGGATTCTAAAACAGAATTAAACGTGCAGGTGCAAATTCCTACTCAAAAATTCTATCCCTGCTATGACTATGCTGTTCATATGAAATCAAAAGTGAGGAAGGGCCGGGCTGTGGTGGCGCACGCCTTTAATCCCAGCACTTGGGAGGCAGAGGCAGGCGGATCTCTGTGAGTTCGAGACCAGCCTGGTCTACAAGAGCTAGTGCCAGGACAGGCTCCAAAGCCAGAGAAACCCTGTCTCCAAAAAAAAAAAAAAAGTGAGGAAGGCCCATGGCCAAGCCTCCATTCTGTAAAACCAGGAATATATGGAGCATAAAGGGAGAGAGTTTGGGGTTTGATGCTCATACATTCAGGCAACAGAATCGCATATACACTATACACGGTAGTCTTCCTGGCATGGGGGTGGGGCTGAAGAAGATAGCCACAGAAGTTTCTGGACTGCACCCTCTTTCCTAGGCCTTCAGTGAGGTCCTGGCTGCTGCAAAGTTGCTCTGACATCAGAGTGGATGGGACTGAGGAAACAGGTTCGGTCATGCCCACGTGGAGGCTGCTTTAGGATGTAATCAGATGCTAGGCATATTGTTAAGGAGTGAGGAAGAAAGGTCCCGAGGGCAGAGTTGTGACTGTGTAGCTGCAGCAGAAGGCTCGTGGCAGTGGATTCGCTGCAGTGGGGGCAAGGGAAGGATGATGGAGAAGTCCATCTTTCGGGGGATTGCTCACCCAACTCTAGTCCAGTGTCGACTGAAGAACAAATACAAGACAAGGAGGTTTGGGTGGCCCGGATCTTTAATCTCATTGTCAGCAGGTCATCATGGGTCTTACTGAATGCCACCTGTCAGGGAGAGCCAGTGTGAGAACCTCTCAAGATGCTGCAGTCTCTCTCCCCCTTTCACTGCACAGACCCCAATGCAGTGAGCATGATTGGCAGGTTTACTGATGCTCGTGTCAGAGGGAGGACTGTGTAAATGTCCTTATTCCCTGACCCTAGACTGTTGTTCAGATGACTGGGAAGGAAAAGATTAGTAAGGGGGAGAGAACACTGGACCCCTGAGTTCTAGGCTGTCATGCAGATTGTGTAGGAGAAGACTGGCAAAGAAGGGAGAGATAGTGCTGGGTCCCTGGCCCCCAAAACCTTTGTTTCATTTGTCTAAAATTTTATAATTTCTTCTTCCCATTTCCTCATATTGTCATCCTTAACCTAAAGTGCATGTGGGAAGGGGCTAATGTCAAACACTGTTGTATGGTTTCTTCAATGTCCCAGCCATGTTTTACACGGATAAGTCATGTTGTTATATATTTGAATGCATATGTAATTCTGTACACTGCCTTTACCTTTGATCTTGGATTCTGTACTTTTGTTCCCTTTGTCTGCGCTATCTTCTCTATTGGTCAGTCTGTGTCTTCAAGATTAATGTCATGATGAGTCTGCATTTTAGGAAAGGAACAGGAGGAAGAGGGAAATCAGGTTGGCTTGTAATCCCAGTGAATCAGAAAGTTAAGGCAGAAGGATTGGTATAGAGCAGGGTCAGCCTGGGCTTCAGAGTGAGTTCAAGGCTAGCCTTGGCAACTTAGTGAAATTCTCTCTCAAAATAAAATGTAAAAAGAAGGTTGGGGTTATACCTAAGTGGTAGAGAATTTGCCTAACATGCAGTAGGTTTTAGGTTCAATCCAGTTAACAGCACACACAAACACATGTATGCAAATACACATGAGGACTAAGAAAATCCAACTGTTATTCTCACTTGTCAACACTAAGAAAATGAATAACCAAATTCCACTGTGTATTTGCCACCTGCTTCTTAGCAAACATGGGTCATTTCAAAACCCAAATGCATTTCATTAAATCTGGATTATTAAGCAGGGTGTGGTCTGACCCTAGTGTCTACCCAGTCACTACCGCACTGCTATCCTGGCTTGGACTCCACTCCTGCAAGTGCATGGCCTCAGATAAGCATCTCGTCCCCTCCCCTGAAATCCTCAGTTATATAACGTGTAAAGAATTGTTTTATTTATTCTTCAATCTTGGCATAGTGGCTCATACCTTCACTCCTAGCAGATGGATCTCTGAGTTCCAGGATAGCCAGGGCTACAAGGAGAGATTCTGCCTCAAAAATATTTTTTCTTGTTTTCCATGGGTATATAAAAAAGACAATAAACATTTTATTGGTAGAAAGGAAGAAAGGAAGGACAGTAGTACCTGACATGTGCTCTTTAAGGGCTTCGGTGGCTGATGTTACTGGCTCAGAACTTCACCTCCTTTTCTTGGTTTATCCTGGTTTCCTCATTCCCAGCTACAAGCCCAGATGAATCTTCTTGGTGTTCTAGACTTGGTCATGTTAGCTCTTCCTTTGAACCCCAGCCTCTGTTCTCACTGCAACATTTGTGAGCAGCCTGTCGTTGCACCAGAGGCTTGTCCCCACCCTTCCTACAGAGAGCAAGCTTCTACCCACCAGCATAGTTAGACTCCTGTGAGTATCCTCTTGTGGGGTGCAGGTAGCTGAACTCTTATTGTATAGCTAGCTCTCTGAGCCTCTTATAGAGATCCTGATTCATCCAAGATGATTCCACTCTGCTGACCTAGTCACCTTCCAACAGCTCTGCTCCTTGAACCAGCACAGTGGGGCATCAGATCAATTTTGGGGATAGTGGGGATTTAGCAGATAAATTTTGAAGAGACAACATCATCTTGTACTTGGGATGTGGACCAGGATTAGAATTGAAGTTCAGTTTTGCATTCATTGACTCAGTGGTACTTCTGGTTCATCCACATAGATGAGTCTAGAAAGCTCAGGATGCGAGACTCAAAATAAAGGGAATGAGCATCACTGATGCTGGAGATGAAATACCCTCTGGGAGTCCATTTTCAAGCAAGAGAGAAAGGTGGAACCTAGAGAAATGCCCCCGAGACTCAATTTATAGAGGCAGTTGTTAGCCTGCCCCCGGAAGATTTCATCACCAGTAGAGTGGTTATTGCTTTGTGTTTGGTTGATTTCTAGCTGGTTTCAAAAGTCTTTGTCTTTAGTTTACCAAGCTGCTTATTTAAGGGCTGGAGAAATGGCTCAGTGGTTATGAGCACTGGCTGCTCTTGCAGAGGACCCAGGTTTGGTTCCCAGCACCCATATAAGGCAGCTCACGACTGTAACTTCAGGTCTAGGTCATCCAGTGCACTCTTAATTTCTCAGACATCTGTTTGCATATAAGCTCACACAGGCACACACACACACACACACACACACACACACACACACACACAATCATAAATCAATCTCCAAAACTATTTGTTTACAGTGCTCCTTGGAACAGACAGGCTGGTATTTCTTATTTGAACTTTTCTGAGCCCTGTGTTTGTATGTCAATATCTTTTATCCCATCTGGGAAGATTTTAGCTATTATTTCTTTGCGTGTGTGTGTGTTTACCATATGTTCTTCTTACTCTATTTTTATTGAAAATAGTTATTTTACAATGTATTCTGATCCCCTGCCTTGTCTCCTCCAGAGCCTCCCCTATTCCATGCCTTCTTTCTCTCTCTCCCAAGAGAACATGTAGATATAAAAGACAAACAACCAAGGATAAAACAAAAGGAACTAACAACAAACAAACAAAAACTAATAAAGCATAAGAAATGCACCCAAAAGAACCCTTCAAAATGAAAACCATAATATACAAAGAGCCAGCAAGGTTTAAATAAAAAGCCCAAACATATTTATATTTGGGGGTATGGGTTACCTCACTTAGGATGATTTTTTTTTTCTAGTTCTATTAATTTACTTGAGAATTTCATGTTTTTTTTAAAAAAAAAGCTGAGTGATATTTCGTGTAAATGTACTACATTTTCCTATCTATTCACCCATTGACAGATGTCTATTTCTAATTTCTGGCTGTTCTGAATAGAGCAGCACTAAACATGGATGAGCATGTGTCTCTGTAGTAGGGTGGAGAGTTCTTTGGGTAGATGCCCAAGAGTCGTATATCTGTGTCTTGAGGTAGATCTATTCCCAGCCTCCTGAGGAACCACCACAGTGATTTTTATGGCATTAGCTATTAGCTATTAGTTTTCGGCATCAGGCTTTTCATTCTCCTCTAGGGCCACTCTGACCAAATGCCTGATAAAAGCAATTTGAGGGAGAATTTGTTTCAACTTAAGAATTGGAGAAGAAATTCACTATGGAGGGGGAGACATGGCAGCATGCATTTTTAGGTCATAGTGTGCCCACAGTGAAGAAGCAGAGAAATAAATGTTCAACTTGCTTCCTCCTTTTAACTCAGAATTGGGCCCCAAGCCATAGGATGGCTGCATTTAGGGTGGTTCTTTCCACCTCAACAAATCCTACCTAGACAGCCCTGCACAGATGTGCTCAGAGATTTGTCTCCAAAGTGGTTCTAGAGCCTGTCAAGTTGGCAGTCAGTATCACAAGTCCTATGCTAGGGCACTCTGGCCTCATTCTGGTAACCCGGTTAAGTTCAGACCACATGCTTTGCTGGCCTTGACTGGCTGTTTCTTATGTTAGACCAGGTCTGCAGGCACCTGCAATGCCACTGAGACACCCACTGAGCCGTCTCACCGGCCTTATGAATTGCATTTTATTAAACTTCCCTCCAAACAATAAGTTTTCAGTAAATTAACTTTTTGGGGGGAGAAGGGGGAACTATAAGGCTGTCTGTCTACCCAGCTTGCAGGGGGGTGGTGCCTGAAGCCTCCTCTGCAGACCTTACCCCACACGGTTAGTGGCAATCTGTCCCACCATGGCTTGCAGACCTCACACTCTGCAGACTCCGGGAGTCACCTCCCTCATGGATTTTGGTATAAACCATACCTCCTGGAGCAGTGTGCACTCCGGCTGTGGATGCTGCCCCGGAAAGAGTCTGGGCAACTAGAGAAGTTAAGAGTGGGCATTTAATAGCCTGTGGTCTGTTTCTTCATTTGCCTTCTGCCTCTTGCCTCCTACCCCAGTGCTGGAAGAAGACACTCACCACCTCGCCAGAGTCTCTGCACCTCCCTAGTAGAAGAAGCCACCTGCTCTCCCAGAGTGCCCCAGTGGGACTGGACTGCAGATGCTGGCTGGAGCCGATGCCTGATACCGGTGAGCTTTATGTCTTTCTTTTGTTACATCCCTGGGTGTGACGTCAAGGACAGGGTCTTGTCTACTTGTCAGGGAGAAGCAGCCCAAAGGTGAGAGGGATTGGCAGTTGTCCCACCCCTTCAACTATCAAGGACTACCTGGTACCCAAAGAAGGGGCATGATCAGCATTGGGCAGGTGCTGCTATGCTTGAGTCCCCAGGACTGGCTCTGAAAAGTCTCAGGTTTGATCTCAAGAGGGCACTGATTTGCTCTTTGGGGTAAGATATGTATTCGAAGAATAATTAACATCAGGGAACAGCATGGTGGGGCTTTGAGGAGAGCTCAAGCCTATGCAGCAGAGCGAGTATCCCTTCTCACATGTCTCAGAGGAAGCGGGTATTCCATGCCAAGTGGTTGATGAGCATCTGCAGTAAATGGTTGTAGAGACAAACACCCACGTGGTTTGCTGTCTCAGATCTAGCCAGCGGCACCTCCCTTCCTTGAGTTTTACCTTGGCGGCCTCTTGGTTCCCTTCCCAAAACTAAACAGCATCATATTATATATTCGTTCACAAAAGGGCTGAGTCATGCAGAGGGGCAGAGCACCCCAAATGAGCCAGGTGTCACCTCTTCCAGCACAGGTGCCATTTTCCTTAGCCATATCTGGAGGCAGGGGCTTGGTGCTGAGAGATGCTCCCAGGTCCCCGACAGACAGATTTAGAGACTGTATTCCTAAGCAGGTGTGTGTTATGTATGCGCAATCAGGAACACTCAGCTAGCTGCCAGGGAGGCAGGTTTGTAAGATGGGTCAACCAGGGCAAAGCCCTAAACAGAATTAAAAAAAAAAACTCAAAACCAAAATCACTTGAAAAACAACACATTCCCTTTTGTCAGGTGTGGCAGGGGCGGGGGCACCCAGGCTGTTAGTCAAGGCCATTGAGGGTGAAGGGTGGTCCACCCTAAAAGTAGCATTTGCCTACAGGAACGCACAGCTGCCTCAACAGGCCTGGGTCTTGAGCTCACAATCCAATGTGTGCATACTGGGCCCTGGGCCCTGGCAAGGTTTGGGCTTTCTGTCAGCAAAGGGACCTGCTGAGACTGTGGACACTAACTATCAACAAACGAATTTACAAGAAAGCATCTGCTATCTGCTGAAATAATGGCTTTCAAGGAAAAGCTGTTTTCTCCTATGGTCCCTCTGAAGTGATGGAATCACTTAGAAAACTGGAAGTGTAGGGGATATGGAGACGGGCAGTTAGTAAAGTACTCAAGTGCAGACCTGAGTTTGATCCCCAGAACCCAGATGAAAAGGCTGATGTGGTTGCGCACACGTGTAATCCCTACACTGGGGAGGCAGAAATAGTGGGGCTCACTGGCCAGGCAGCCTAGCCTGCCTGGTGAGCCCTAAGCCAATGAAAAAAGTAAAACTGTCCGGGTGCATTTGAAAATCAACTGAAAAGCCACGAACAGGAGAAATGCCTTAAGCTCCAGGAGGGCACCAGAACACATCTAAGAAAGTGAGAGAAGAGACTTACAAGTCCTGTGAGGGCAGAGGACAGATAAGACCAGGGAAAGGGGAAAGGAGATGAAGCAAATTCTCCCATCAGAACTGAGTAGGGAAAAGATCAAAAGAAGTTAAATGTGAGTGGTTTGGAGGGCAGAAAAGCAAGAACTGGAGCAGCAATTATTGAGGGAAGAGAAGGAAGCTTAGCTAAGCTAAATCCTGAGATCCAAGGCTCTCCCACATCAACTGCAAGACAAGGTGGCTGGAACTATCACCCCTTTGTGACAACCGAGAAAGAGAGAATGGGAGTGTATCTCTAGATTCTCACCCAACAGAAAGTGTAACCAGCTCTAGCTCTGGTTACAAAGCAATTGCCATTGCTATCATCTTCATTATGATGATTATTTTTTAATTAATTTATTTATGTGTATGGCTGTGTTGTCCTCGTGTATGTCTGTGCACCATGTGTGTGCCCAGTGTACTGGAGGCCAGAAGAGTGTTGGATCCTGAGTCTAAAGATAGTTGTGAGCTGCCCTGTGAGTGCTGGGAACCAAACCCTGGGTTCTTTGGAAGAGCATCTACTGCTCTTAACCGCTGAGCCATCTCTCCAACCTCGACAATTATTTTAGTACATGCTCAAGGAAGGGACCCCACCCACATCAGAGTAGCTTTATTTTAATTCTGCACAAATTTATCAGCCAATGATTTCAAACAATGCTCTGAAATACCTGTCAGTTGTGAAGGTTTCAGGTTATAAGAAGGGGATGAGCTCAAGTGTCAGGGCCAGCTTTGACGATGGATCGTCTGACGAGAAAGGCTGTCTCTCCCAAATCTTCATGCACATGCATGCATGTGGATGTGGGTATGAAAGCGCATTCATGTGGACATCAACCTTGAGTATTGTTTCTTGTCTGCTGTCCACCTTGTATTTAAAGACTGGCATGCTCACTGGGAACTGGAACTCACTTCTGAAGTAAGACTGGCTGGTCAGTAAGCCCCAGGGGTCTGCCTGTCACTGCCTCCCTCGTTCTGAGACTTCAAACACATGCCAGATGCCCTGCTTTCTCTATGGGCTGGGGGTTGAACTCAGGTCCTCTAGTTTGCACAATGAGCACTTTCTTGACTGCTACCTCAATGGCCTTAGTAGGTGAAATTCTGCCATTTGCTTATCCTTCTCCACCACTGGATTATTGGCCAGTAGCAATACAACAACAATAACAAAAAAATGAGTAGGAGTATCTATACTCATATCTGACATAGTGGGCATCAAACTGAAAGTAGTCAGTAGTCAGAAGGGACACAGGTCATCATCACATATGACGAGAGGATCAATCCATCACGATGATATAACAATTGTTAAGTATGCATACACACAGCACATTGGTGCAGTCAGTATTATAAACCAAATGCCATTACACACAAATGTCTAAAATATATCCAGATACAATTCCCATAGGTAATCAATATCCACCTCTCACCAATCAATGAACCATCCAGACAAAAGGGTCAGCTAAGAACCTTCAGAATGACTCTGCGCCACAGGTCACATGACTTAGAAGACACCCACAGCATGTTCCCTCCCACCATCTGCAGTGTGCACGTTCTTCTCAGCAGCCAGTGGAGCTTTCTTGTGGGTTAGACTCCTTATTGAGTCTCCTTGTAAATTCATTGTTTGTACTTAACCTGATGTGGTTCTGCTAACCCTGTTTCTGTTTGACCATCGGTGCGGCACAATGCTGTCTTCTGTTAACTATGGTTTCCTTTGGCTCTGTGGACAGACTTACAATGGCTAAATGGTTTTTGTTGGTGTTGATGGTGGTTTTGGCTTTTGTTTTTCCTGACAAATGCTATGTGAGCACTCTGACATGAAGTATCAGTGGTCTGGGTGCTTTATCCTCAGTAGGGTCCTATGCTCCTGTTCCTTCACGTGTTTCGTTTTTGTTGTTGGAAACTGAGTATTTTAAGAAGTGTACTGTATCAATGCTGAGCGCCGCTCTCTGACTAGACCTGATATTGTCGTTTCCTTGCTTAATAACTAGGCAATTGTTTTCGGGACCTTTCTTTCACTTTCCACAGCACGAAGCCGCTCAGGCTCAGCAGGTGCCATTCTCATGTGCCCAGTTACCAGATGACAGCAGCTTTGCTGGGGCTTGCTTATCCCTCTTCTCAGACTTGACCAAATTACTAAACTGTGTTAAGTGGCAGCTGGCTGCTTTATTATTTTCAGTATTGTTCCTGGAAGACAAATATCATTTAAGTAATCCAATCAAACTCTGGTTTGTTTGTAAGAATGTGTTCTCAGATTAGGATTTGGCGTTTGACTCTAGGTGGAACATTTTTAGCTGTCTTTATCTGGTTCCCTCTAGTAGGGTTAGTTTTAGGCCGACTCGTTGCATCCTTGAATCCCCCCCCCCCCCCAGCCGTTCCCTTCACAAAACCTCTACTGTTCTTGAAGGCACCTTTAAGCTTATACTTCTCCATGCTCTGTTGCAAATGTGATCAGTCCCTTTGGGAAGAAGCATGGAGCTGTTATGTAGCCAGCTTTTCCCCCTCAGGCAGAAAAATCTTGGAGCCAGAAATGCCACAGACTCCACCTCCCTTACTGAATTGTCAACTGATATTCTTGAATTTGTTTTATTTCTATTACCACTCCAGAGGCTATAAAGGTGTTTATAAGTTACTCTTGCTTGCTACCCTGAAATTGGCTCGAGTCTCCTGTTCTTACAGCCTGTCAGTGAGGGGCTCAGAGGAGATAAACTGGACGGCAATGCTTGTCACATCTTGTCTAAGTCCATGCCTTCAACTTCTTGTCATAGCCCAGCAGTTGTGTTTTGTGCTGCACACAGTAGGTTCACAGTAACACTTGCCTGTGGTGGCAATGGTATTCCAGTGTCTGGGAATCCTCCAAGGGGAAAAGAAGAGGAATAATAGCTACACAATGGTCCAAGTAAGGGTGTGAAGCCTTAGGCCAATTCCGTCGCTCCCTGGGAACATGACCTTTGCTTATATATCCCACTCCTCCCTGGGAACATGACCTTTGCTTATTCCCCATTTCATTTAAATTTAATTGTAACACATGGACAATAATAGTACACGTTAGGTAATATTGTGTGGACATTCCATGGAACGTGCCTAATGTATGTTTATTAAGTGCCAGACAATATTTCAGGTGTTGCACATAAGATCGGTTACTTTTGTATTCTGTAACAAAATGCCTGGTGAGGAACAGCTCAAGGAAGGCTTGTTTAGGTCACCGTTCAAGGGTCCAGTCCATCACGGTGGGGAAGGCATGGCGGCCGGAGTGTGAGGCAGCTGGGCACAGTGCATTCAGTCAGGAAATGGAGAGCAATGCTGGCTGGCGCTCAGGCTCTCCTCTTTATTTGGTCCAGGACTCTATCATGGAATGGTGTCATCAACATTTAGAGTGTCGCCCACCTCTATTAACCTAATCTACAGAACCCTCTCAGCCATGTCCAGAGTCTGGTGTCCATGATGATTTTCATCAAGCTGACAGTCAT